AAGTGGACAAATGTAGATTTTTATTTATATAATTAAAACAATGTTTTTTTAGATAAATATTGGTTCATTTATTAAAAAATTAAATTTACATGCATTTATTAAGAATAATATTATTGAGGAAAGATTTTGCCAAATTATTTCTCCTCATGTAGATTATGTGTGAGGTTGTTAAAATATTCATGGTGCAAAGGTGGTATATACATATCTTAGTAACTCCATCAGAGTTGAAATTGGACGTATATTGTTGTATAATGGTGTTAATTTTATTTTGTGGAAGCTCCTTGGTCTTTCTTGACAAGGTGATAAATCAAGTATTTTGAACTCTTCATCCACTTCCATAGATTATTTATAAAATATTTTATAGAGTTCACTTCTTATAAATTGCATCCAACATATCCTTAGCTAATTTACGCGTTCGCCACTGGTGTTTTTTAATCTTTTATGAATTGCTTCTTCCAAAGGTCTGGACGTTTCATGTTATTTAATATAAATTTTTTACTCTTTCGACATATTTTTATGGTTTGATAGTAATTCCGGGGGTCATACATTAAATTATTTTTCCTCAAATCCATTTCTACCACTCCCAAATCACTATCATTTGGCAAAAATTAATGTCCTGATAGTAAAAATTTATGGTCAATAATATTTGCATTATTTTCTGCCGATCGCAAAATTTTCAACAATGTTAATGCCAATCTTATATTCCTGTTCTGTCTAGTGTACATATCGCTGTAAGCTATGATATGTTTATGATTTTGAAGTTTTTTGAGCTGGTTTAATATACAAGATCCTACTTCTTGGGGACCTCTCGATGCCATCCCAGGCATATATGTAAACTTCATTATCGTGAAAATTATGACAACCAAGGTAGCAAATGTACATATAACGTTTGTAATAGGCGATGGAAACAGACGATTTTGGAAAGGGTAAAGCCTTTAGTGGACTTGAGCCAGTTTCAAAATATTTTTTTTTTTTGTGAATTTCGTTAACTAACTAATTTTTAATTGCCCAAAATCATAGAGATTTAAATGATTTGATTTTAAAAAGTTTATAAAAGAAGGATTATATAGGATTGTGATTATTGTTATCATTACTTTTTTTTAAAGTCGACTTAGACCGCTTTCAAAATAAACGACTCATATGTAAACTGAAAAAAAAACGACTTGAAAAACTTAATTAGTATTCAAATAAAAATTACAATTGAAAAATTGCAAAACCGTCAACATTGCATCGATTAGAAGCTGTAATATGAGCAAAACAACGACGTTTCTCCAACCCAACCAAACCCTAAAAAATCCCAAATCTGGCTTCCGCAAAATCAGTAGAAAAACAAATACTAATAATAAAAATACACAAAAACTACGAGGTTTGAGGATCTGGAACCACTGACAGATAATAAGGGAATCTACGCAGCCTAAAGAAGGAACGTGAAAATTGTATAAATTTTATCAATTTTCCGATTTAAATATTTTCATACGTATTCTGTAAATAAGTAATTTGAAGTCTGCATGCATGTGAAAGCAAAACTTTGGAAAGCTATCATACTACTACATACTAGATAAGTTTTTAACCACACCTATTGATGTAGAGTGCAACCTTGCTGCCATCATATAGACCACTCAGACTGTTTTCTTTCATTTTCAAACTTTTCAATAAAGTGTTGTTTTCAAAAATGTATCATTTTTTCATTAAAAGAAAGTCCTCAAAATCATAAAGAATTTCCCAACCGTTTTTCTTGATCTCGCTCAAGCATTCGATAAATTGGCGGATGATGGTATAATTCTTAAGACAAAACAATCATTACCTGGTACGTTTCATAATATCCTTAAATCCTACGTATGCCACAGGTAATTTTCTGGAAGATTAATTATAAATATTGTGTATACCGTAAACCGCAGATATTCCTACAATAGACAAAGTAATAACCTCAACATTTGCGGATGACACTGCTAAGATAAGTTGGTGCGAAATGCCCCATTACAGCCGCTAGAGTGTTAGAGCAACACCTTGAATTGAAGAATGGCTAGCAAAATGGTACATACAAGTTTTACACTAAACTAAAAAATGTCCACTTTTGTCAAGAACAACAATGTGACTATTCCTCAAGGTAACGGAATCTCATATTTTGGCATTCACTTGAAAAAGCGAATTCTAGGTTCAGCTCCGAAAAACTAATATAGATATGTGGAATCTAGTTATGAGGCCCAACTTAAACAAGCAATGTATAATACAGGATTTTCCAATAAGAGGTGTTATTTTGATATTTAAAGAAACTTTTCCCTTAAAATGATGGTTGTTGAAAGTAGACGTTGTACAGATGTCCAGCCATTAAAAATCATCCATACCCTCTCCATGGCGCAATCCATTACTTTTGCAATGATTCCGCCGGACTATGAACCGCACCAAAAGGTTATACGTTGAGGATGGAGACGTTTTTCAACAGGTTTCAGGAAAAAAAAATTATGCGTTGCATTTAAATTTGTTAATTTATAGAGTTTAGTTTTCGGTAGCTCAAAGAAATGAAATGAAGAAATGACGCACGTCTTTAACATTTTAAAACGGGTTTTCGCTCCGATTTTACAGCACACTTAAAATTTACCGTTTGACATTATAGAACATCTTAGATTCCTCTTTTATCTTTCCTTTGGTCATCGCTACTTTTGGAAGCTTAGGAATGCATTATGATCATAGTAGCGAGCTTGCTTCGCAATATTTAGTGACTCTTTTGGTGGGCACTGCTTCTAAAAAATTGAACCAGATGAACTAACATTGCACTAATAATAACTGCCTGACGATTGGATTTTAAGTGTGCTCTGCCCAATCCATAAAAAAGGAAACCCCACAGACTGCGCCAATTACCGTGGGATAAGCCTCCTTAATATCGTTTATAAGGTCCTGTCGAGCGTATTGTGTGATAGACTGAACCCACCAACGAACTGTTTGACCTTATCACTATGGCTTCAGGCCTGGTAAGTAAGCCATTGAGCAGATATTCAGCATTCGGCGAATCTTGGAAAAGACCCGTGAAAAGAGGATCGACAACTACCACCTCTTCATCGATTTTAAAGCCGCTTCCTAAAGCACGAAAAGGAGCTGCTAGGCCGCTATGTCTGAATTTGGTATCCTCGCAAAACTTATACAGCTGTGTAAGCTGACGTTAGACAATACCAGAAGCGCAGTCAGAATTGAGAGAAGCCTCTCAGAGCCGTTCGGTACCAAGCGAGGTTTCAGACAGTGTGACTCGTTGTCGTGTGATTTATTCAAATTGATGTTGGAGAGAATAATAAGAGCTGCAGAGCTGAATAGAGAAGGTACTATCTTCTATAAGAGTGTACTACTACTGGCATACGTCGATGATATTGACAATATCGACCTCAATAACCGCGCCGTTTATTCTGCTTTTGTCAGACAGACAGAAGCGAAGCGAATGGGTCTGATTGTAAACGAGGACAACACGAAATATACAATAGTTCAGCGAATCAAGAAACATCGGCTAGGTTAGCTAGGTTATGTCGTCCGAATGGATGTAATCACTCCAGTTTTGAAAGTTTTCGATACAGTAGCCGCCGGTGAAAGCAGAGGTGGAAGAAGTGGGCTTCGTTAGAATGACCAGGTAGAGAAGGACCTGGTTGTATTTGGTATTTCCAATTGGCGCCAAGCAAAGCAAAAAAGAAGAAATGAATGGCGCAATGTTATTAAATCGGCTCAAATCGCATAAGCGGTGTCTACACCAGTAAAGTATTTAAGGTAGTATTTAAATATTTCAATATTCCCAACTTAAAGTTCCCTTGGATGCTGCACGCGTGATAATTTCACTAAACTGCGCTGTGGCGAGTATCTCTATTCAATTAAATTTCACAAAATTACATTTAATCACTTTGTTTGTTAATATATTCTTCATATATAAAAAAATAAAATAAAATTTTCATTTGAAATTATTTTTTTTTTTTTTTTGTTGACAAAAATTCAATCATATGATCACTCAGCAAAAATTTGCAACTCTCTTTCAAAACCAAACTTCAAAATTGCGCTCTCTCTTTAGTAATTTTACTGGGTATTTACTTCGCCGAAGGCAGTTCAGTAAAGTTCAGTAAGAATTTCGACTGCCCATCAGGTCACCGAGCAGAGCAATTGTAAATACTAATAACACACAAACAATGCATTACAGAGAGGGACGTATACTGACAAAATATAAATGAAGTTTACAGGCCTATTCTGTCGAGGTAACAAAATTTCCCTAGGTCTTAAAATTTACCATTTAGTAAATTTTGTTACTATTTCGTATTCTGAGCTCACTGTTACCCTGTAAATTAGGAGGTAACAAAAATATTTGCTTTTTGATTTTTTTTTTAAATTTGAGAAAAAATTAAAAACCAAAATGGGTAGGAATATTTTAGGCCTGGAATTCATTGAAAATGAAGAAAAAGTACAAAAAGCCATATTTTTAGAAGTTTTCGAGACTAAAAAATAGCACTTTAATTTGTGAGATAACGTTTTCGTTCAGCATATTTTCCATAATTAGGTTCAAATATTTATGATTTAATAAACAAATTAATAAAACTTTTTAATTTTTTTGTGCACAGTCTTCCATTTCGATGTGAATATTTTTCTTTTTACTTTATCAAATGGAAAATGTAATTTGACAAGGACAAAAAATGCAGTGCTGCCAAAGATTTTTCAAACATTGTAGCCTGTTCGCCAGAATACCAAATTCTACTCCGGGTGTTAAAGAAAAGTAACAAAATTTACTTTATCGGTAACAGTGAGAATAGGCCTGTTAGTCGCGTGGTCAAGACTAGTGTGTCTTACTGATCGCTAAATAAATATTTTCTTAAAACCCGCAAAATATAAATAAAAGAAAAAAACATCAATTGAAAGATCCTCGGCTCTCGAATAAGAAAATTAAATAATAATAAAACGTTGCTCATTTATGTCAATTTCGTTAGTAATAGGGAATAATTAAGAAATTACAAATTAAAAAAGAAAGTAGTTCCACTTACGAATTTCATCAAAGCCTCAAGTGGTTCATATGTAATAAAATCAGCCACAAACTTCGCACATTCTGTTTCACTGCCAATCAAAGGGATGTGTATAAACAATGTTGGTCGTATTGTAGTGCAAACAAATTTCTGCAAATATTCACAACAATGAAACCGATTTTATTTGATTTTTTTTCGTTTTTTTTTTTTGTAGTTACCTGCACGTTACATTCATTTGGCAAAGCTAATACCAATGGTCTGCGTTTAGGATAAAGTGTTGTGAATTGCTTACGAAAATTCTCGGCATAAAGCAACAAAAGACGTTCTTTTGGGGACAAGGTATAATAACTGGGAGGATAGCATTGCAGTGAATCTGCGAACTCTGCTGACGTCTCGGGAAAGGATAAATCAATGCGCCCAATATCAAACGGGGCCTCGACATCAGACCATACTTCTTCTGCTGACTCTTCCTCTTCGCCCATTTCTTCTTCATCCAATAAAGCTTCCTCTAAAAGTTCTTCTTTGATGGCTTCAGCTTCTGCTCTTCTTCTCTCCTCAATTTCTTTTAATTTTGCTTCATGTTGCTTTGGATCAATTCGAACAATGTTGTCTTGTTTTTTTGCATTGGTGCCTTTTCTATTTTGTTTTGGTGGCATGACGACGAATATAAAAAGTAAACAAATATGGAATGATACTCTTGGCAACGGAAATTCTAGAGGTATTTATTTTTTATTTAAATATATATGTATGTATGTATGTATGTATGTATGTAAATAAACAAAATCACAAAATAAACAACGCCAGCTTTATTCAAAATAGTTTCTTAAAAAGGAGTTATACAAGGCGAATTTAGAGAAGGTGAAGTTGTCACATCATGTGATTGCTTGTTCTTCCATCCATTTCAAAAAATTACACAAACAAAATCAAGGCGAATTTTTCAAGGTGAAGTTACTAGAGCTGCTTTCATTTTTTAATTCGCTTCAGTGCAAAGACTTGGAATTTTTTTTTGTTTTTTTTTTTTCAAATAAAAAATATGGACCGTTGCTGATCTGAGTTGATACGGCTATTAACCAACACATTTAGGCCAATAAGCCCGTTGTCATAACCGCTATGAGACTGTTATCTTCACATACTCATTTGTTCAAGCCGTTTCGCGTGTTTATTGAAAGCAACGAGATTAGCAATTCGAAGCAGTCTAAGTGTTCAATGGACTCTCGCTATACGCCCACAATTATTGGAATATTATCCTGTTTTGCCATGAAGCCCCATTGATTGGTTATCTGTTATTACACCCGTAGCTTTGCTTTTGCATAACTGGTCTAGAAAGATAATATGTTAAGATTTGTTTGCCTCCAATTTTGGTCATGGCTGTCTGGATGTTCCTGGGTGTCTGGGTACCCAGGCCATGGTAGTATTGCATTAGGCCGAGAGTTTGTCCAGGTTGCATCTTCTTATAACCACTTTTGATGTGGTATTTTATTCTAATGACCAATGGTTAAAAGACTCCCTTACAAAGAAGCAGCTAGTAAGAAAACTGCTCTACTATTTTTGCCATTTAAATTAGGAAACTTTGATTTTTAAGGCTAACGACATCAATTTTGTTTTTTGTTTTTCTTCTTTTCTGACTTTTTTTTTGCCCTGATTTTGACAATTGTTACACTGAAAACAAACACAAAATGCAAGGTAATTGTTGTTTTTCTTCTTCTGCTCTCACCTTTATGAATTCGCCTTGAACAAAATACATGAGAAACATGAAGTGAAATAGGTTTTGGCATTTCGAACGTTCGTTAACACAAACAAAATACATTGAACGATTTTCGTTTTTGACTTTTCGAAACTATGATTATACGGCATTTCCACGACAGCAGAATTACGTGTTTCGCTCTCTCAATTACGAAAGCGAATTACCCCATTCACACGGCACGCAGTTGACAGTTTTTGGTTCCGCTTGTTTGTTCCATTTGAAAATACATAGAAAATGAAAGATTTTAGTGGAAGTTAACAAAATCTTGAATGGAATTGGTAATTTAATACCAGTTTCTTTAATAATTTCTCATTTTTCCTAGTTTAATATACAAATAGTGTTTGGTTTCTAATAAATGTTTGTGTATTAGTGTTTTCTTTTATGATTCTCCTCTCTTTTGTTTTGGTTTGTCAGCAGGTTTCGATAAAATTTCGATAAAAATTAGAGAAGGCATCAATTTGGTCGTAATTCGCATGGCAATTGAGAACGAATTACCCACTTTTACTGTAATTCGCTCACGAAAGCTAGTATGGGGAATTAAATAACTCGGCATATATTTGGAGAGCGATTTACGATTAAGAGAGCGAAACATGTAATTGGTCTGTGGTGGAAATACCGTATTGCACAAACAAAACACATAGGCTTTTTGTTTTTGTATTCTTGCTACTACCGTGTGTGAATTTGCCTTGGATATTTATACCGCTACCAAGCTTTATGGATAATAAGGCCCCCTCAGGGAATAAGGTTGCGACAAGACAACCATTGATTAAAATATATATATATTTATATAGATATAATATTAGCGCGCAACTCCTCTCTTCTTTTCGCTGCCTGCCGGCAAGTGGAGATATCAAGTACAGCCAGATCACTCTCCACCTAATCCTTAAAACGGAGTGGAGGTCTTCCTCTTGCTCTGCTTCCACAGTTAAAACGTTTGCAAAACTTTTCTCTCGAAGACTCCTAAAGCCGACTTATCAGATGTTGACTTCATTCACGCTTCTTCTGGATATAATTTCCTGAGAGCAACATTGAGCAGAGACAATTGACAGCCACATATAGCTACTAATTACGCCTGAAAAGCACTACAGTGGTCCGATAAGCGAAAATATTTGCAGATAACAAGATCCTTTATTATCTTGTTTTGATCCATCCGTATCCAAATACATCGGATTGGGTCATGACGGTATTATCCTGCCCTAAAGGTTTCTATATGGGATAACTACCTTGAAATCTGTCGAGAGTAGGTATAAAGGGCATTCATTTATCTCGAGTGCCACCAGACTACAACTCCATAGAGAAGTATAGGCCTAACAACTGAAATATAAAGCCAACGCTTTATTTTAGGTTACATGGCCCATTCTTTGTCTATCAAGCCTTTGCAGGAATTGAGGACAATGGATGCCTTACGGATCTTTTCGTCTGAATTCTTTGACCAGATTTTCCTGTCCGGGCTCAGTCCCAGGTATTTTGTAGGCCCAGTATTGCGCACCCCCGTGCCAGAGAGCATTGATATTAAATTGGAATTTTAAAGTTTCCAGTGAAGAGAATAAGCTCTGTTTTGTTTTTTTGAACCCTAATCCAGCATCAGTAGCTCATATTTCTTTCCGCCTTAATCCGTCCTGCTTGATATCTCATAAAGTTTGTGGCAATTTACCATTCACTTTAGTCGCCAGATCGTCCTTATACGTTATGACCTTCCACCCTCCTTCTCTGTGTATTTCTGCAGTTGGTTCACTGCTATGACCTATAGAATAGGCGAGTGAACTCCAAATCTTAATTGTCAATACCCCTACAATATCAGAACTTACAACTCTACAACCGAGCAATTGACGTATAAAATGAATAACCCGAGAATTGGTGTCCAGACTAGCAGACGTAACTGCAGTCGGCGCTATACTATTGGAGGTCCCCTCAGTATCGATAAAAACCACCAGGCCGTATTTTTTAACGGAGAATCGCGGGCGTTCATGAGATGCGTGAAAAAGATCTGAAAAACTTTTGATTTCAACAAGATGTCACACAGCGGATTCAACGATGAAATTCTCGCGGCAAAAGTTAACCGGATGTGTGGTATCGAAAGGAGGAGATATAGACTAGCCACCAAGATCGCCCGATTGGACGGTACCAGACTTTTTCTCTCTGGAACTAGCGCTAGTTAACTGATTGACCAGCTTCAGCTCTATATTGTTTGCAAAAGTAAATGACACTGATTCCTGCAGAAGATACGACCCATACTTTTAAATTTTTATGGGTTTCAGATGAGAAACCACCGTTTAGGTTGAGCTGGATATATTGATGATCGGAAAAGGAGTTCTCCCCAAGCACCCTTCAATTCCTTATCGACTTACCAATAAATGCTTGCCGCATATTTGTCAACATAATTTGTGACCGATAACCCAGACGTCCTGGATGGAGGCTGTGCTCTCTGCCGATGACATATGGAGCAGCTGCACCTCCTCGATGCATCGCAGGAACCTGTCCGCGTCCTTACAAGATGGTGGTGTTCCAGTGTTTTTGGCGACACCCACCAAATCTGCCTTAACCCATTTCCATTGGGCTCTAAGCTCCTGACCATTACCTTTGTTTTCATGGCCTATTCCCAGGAGGATACTCTCAGCAAACGATGTACCCTGAGTTTTCAATCGCTTAGACTTCGACATCTGGACCTCTGTCGATCAGTCCCATTTCGTTGCCTATCCGCTACGTGCAGACTGAAGTTTAGAATGGCCAATTTCGCGCAATCTTTTTCTGCTAGACTTTTGCTGACATCGAAGCTTCAATCAAATCCCTCATCAATGCCTTTTGCATCTGTAGATTGCCGTTTGGGAATCCTGACGTTCCTCGAATTCGGTGTGTGGCGTAAGGGCTGAAGGAGGTCCTCGTGGGGCCTGTACATTGGTTTTGCTGGTACCCGTAGCAGTCTACAATCCTGAACCAACTACGACAGCGTCAAAAATATTCCGCGGAGGAAACCATTTATTCTCCCAATACTAGCACTCTCGGCTGGCGACGGCCCCGGCTGCGTTATCGTCCCTGATTCACAACCACCTGCTGCCGTTAGAGGATCAAAAGGAATGCACAAGTTTTTGAGCTTCTGCTCTTCCGACTTTTTCTTAAGAGTGTAGGTCTCTTTTTGTTTTGTTAATTAAGTTTTCTAAATTGCTACCTGGTTACACTTAAGGCCCCCAGCCAGATTAACTCGTGGCACAGACCACGATCAAGAACCTTTTTATATGACACAGCTACTGACGAGCTACTGATCCTTGCTGTATACCCGCCCGACAACGAGCGGTGAGGCTCTAAAGTATCCACCCTCGAGGAGGGTTCAGCCTGAGGATTTTCGACGAACGGCATATTCGTTTCTTTACTTTACTTTAAAAGATCTCTCGAGTAATCTTGACATTCTGCTCAATTTTTTCAAGAAACATAAACCGAGTTAAGCCAAAAGATGATTAATAAAAACTGCTGTCCAACCACAAATGTAGACCAAAGAGCGCACCAGAAAGTTTTTTCGTATAATAGCCTCCCTTCAACTATTTAAAAATTCTCGGAGCCCCAAATGCGATAATTTTGTTTATTTACGTGTCTCCCGAATGAGAAATATGCCTTGTTCCTGCAGGTAATTTTTAAGAATGCTTTACATCGGCTTGATTATGTGCACCACCATCCAACCTTATAGCAAGAATCGTGGCATCATTTGAATCACCATTTTTGTAGTGGTTTTAACAAAAATTTTAACGAAATGGATTTCCCTATATTTCACCGAGAGGATTCTAATTCGAGTGAAAGCAAAACCATCAAAAATAAATTTGCAGCTTTAGCGCTACAATATTACATAATATGTAGTTATAGAAAGAAATAATAAAAAAAATATCAATGTTTCTACTTTTTCTTTTTTTAAGCGTAAGTAAACACGGTGTATCCTAAAAATAACCGAACTTTATATTTAAATCATACAACATACAGCGCCATCTATTGAAAATTTGCAACATTAAAAAGATACATTCAACCTCTTTCAAACGC